AAATTATTTCTTGCTTACGCATTTTCCACGCAAACAGTTAACTAAAGAATTACATTCCTATGTGTACACGAGGCATTCCTAATTAAAAATATAGATTTATGACTAAATAATTACTGTCCAAAATAGTGTCTTTTGACTGTGTCACAATCACATTAGAATGATTCCCTCGAGGAATAAATCCAGCGAGATTTCCAAAATTAACAGCCGTTTTGAAAGCTTAGAACCCGCGGCAGTCAAACTTTGTGCAGATCGGCGACCGTTACGGCGCGGTCGGCCTGGAATCTAGCCAAAACCCTCCCAACGGGCCCCCACATGGTTTGGGAATTGCAAGTCACGACAAATACTCGGCCACCCAGGGTAAGGGAATATTTGCAAGAATCTATTGTCAACTCCGACCAATCACATTGSGAACTGATGTCAACAGATTTTGACAGAATACACGTGAGAAATATCGCCAAGGTGGAAGTCCCGCACTAACTTGTAAAAAACTTTTTATATCGTCGATTTTAGTGAATTTTTAAAGTATTTTTTTCAAATCAATATGTAGCAGGAGCAGGAATTGGGACATGGCAAGGTAATTCATGATTTTGATTTCGTATATCATCATTTGCTTAGATTTTTTTAAAGTCTGAATTGTGGCGAGACCCGGTGTGAAAATATTTTACGTGTGCGCGTTGTTTTGTAGGATTTTGAATAAAGAACAATCTCAAGTCCTTGAAGCAGCTGTGAAAGGGCACAACCTATTTGTAACTGGGCAAGCTTTCTCTGGGAAGTCATTTGTAGTAAAGGAAATTTTTAAACGTTTCACTTTGGCCGTCAAGAGGGTATGCATTATATGCTCCAGCGGCATCGCAACGACTGTTTATAGTGATCTAAACACTGAAGTCAGCACAGTACACTCTTTTTTTGGACTGCAAACAGCAGATCTGCCGTATGACTTGGTTGTGGACAGGTCAACGTCCAATAATATAGTCATTGAAAGAGTAGCAAACTATGACTGTCTTATCTGGGACGAAGTCAGCATGTCCAGTCGAAGAATCCTTCAACTCGTCAACGAGATTCAACTGCTACTGACAGCCCCCGATCGCGACCATGCTAACCCTCTGGCTGGAAAACAAGTCATTTTAGTCGRAGAGTTTTTACAACTTAGACTGGTCCCAAGCTTGTTCGATGAGGGGGAATTTTTATTCCGCTCGCCGATATTTCAGAAGGCCTTTCCCCATCGCTTCAGTCTCACGCAAATTATGCGTCAAGACGAGAACCTGAACCTCTTCCTTCAGTGCCTCAAAGAACTTCGTCTGGGACAGTGTTCTGATAACACTCTTCATTTTCTTCGTAGTTTGTCAAGACCTCTTCAGCCAGCGTCCAAGGATCCTGTCCACATCTTTTTCAGGCGAATTCCCATGGAAATGTACAACCTGGATGTCTTGCTAACTTTGCCTGGGGAACTTATCACCTTTAAAGCGGTAGATAGCAAAGATACARGAAACATCAAGTGCCCAGCAGAACGCATATTGCTTCTCAAGCCCGGCGCCCTCGTAATGTTGGTTTGGAACAAGTCGAGAGACTTAAAAAATGGCTCACAAGGAGTGTTTATCGAAACACGAGGGGAAGTTCTCTTTGTCGACTTCCAGAACGCTGGAAGAGTGGCAATTCAGAGGGAGACCTGGCAGAAGTGCGCAAGTGATGATAGAATGCACAGGGCGAAACAGAAACTTTAACAATCTTTAATATGTAGATGAAAGGTATTAAAGGTACATTTCATTTCTTTACGCATGGTGTTAAATGGCTGTAAAGGCACGCCACCTTTAACAGCTGTTTAACACAGTTAAAGGTGTATTAAAGAGACATGTACCTTTACAGGGATATAAGTTGTGAGTATTAAAGGTGATTAAACTTTCATTCCCTTTAATGATCTTTAATTGTTTATTAAAGATGTAGTTAAAGGTGTATTAAAGAGACATGTACCTTTACAGGGATATAAGCTGTGAGTATTAAAGGTGATTAAACTTTCATTCCCTTTAATGATCTTTAATTGTTTATTAGAGGTGTCTTTAAACGCCTTAAATGTTCCGTTAAATATTATCAAAGATAATGTGTTTATCTATAGGCAATCCAAGCTCTTTTTTTTAGAAGGGGTAAAAATACAGGCAGGTACAATGTATCGATAAGAAATCGAATGTCGTATCTTGTAATTGTGTGAAAATGTTTCAATTTTTGACTTGCCTCCTTGTGTATTGATTTGGGTGTTATAAACATTTCTCATTGAATTACTTTTGTTATCGACGGCTTCTAACTTTTAAAACTATGAAAAATCACTGATCCGGCACTGAATACTTTAACCAAATATAAGCTATGCCATCAAAAGTTTTATTCAGGGATTCGCTCTATTAAACGAATAATAGTCTAGCAATGTCTCTAAATGATTGCGTGATATAGCGTTATGAAGCCAAAGAATAGAGTTCCTTTATCTACTAATTATATAATGTAATGTGCGATTAATCTACTTAAATTCAGTAAATCATCACGTTACGTCAATGATGACAGATCACGGAATCACGAAATAAACCGATACTAAATAAAGGAGGATTCATTCGATTCACATTGTTGTATACATTAAGCTAGTTGGTCGTTCAGTATTCAAACATGAGCTCAGTTCGTTTGAATCCCACTCAGGGTTATTTATTTTGTACTCATTGTAATCGGAATCAACGTACAGGAGACATATGAACATTTTGCGTCGTGGATCTAATGTGAGAGATGTGCCAGATGTACATGTTGAATCGTCATCTGAATCAGAGAACGAGACATCAAGTAACTTCCAAGGTATGTATTATATATTGCGCTTGTAGTTTTATTAAGATAACCATCTCAAGTCCTTAACACTCGTTCTTTTTTGGAATCGGTCATGATCATACAAAGGTTTATAAATTCCCTCATTAAACGATATCATGACATGCATCCAATCTATACACACCTACTTTATAATGCAAATTGGTTCGTGCAAATTTTGTTTTAAGTAGGTCACGTGTGCTTGAAAGCGAATTTGACAATGTACCCCGCATGGTACTTCAATGTTCATACTTTCCTCTTTGGGTTAGCAGCCGACTTCTTGTATTTATTTATTTATCTATGTATGCATTTATTAACTTAGTTTTTTATTTTATTTGGTCGCAATCTATGTCCATGAAATAAAGAAGGTCATTTTAAATATTGCCAGCCTAGTGTCAGAGTTTTGTGTGATGGTCAAAAGTCAATGACACCATCCAATACCTATGTTAAA